CGATGCGCCGCTGCCTATAAGCCGATGGGAAAATTTCAAGCGTCGCGTCGTCTCGCGATCGCGCAGGTTTCTTTCTGAGTCGATACATGCTTCATATGCTCCGCGCGACACGGGTATTTGCGATGAAATCGATATAACGAAAGCAGAGTATTGTCGATATCGCAATGGGGAAGCTCCACAAGACGATATAAAAGCCTTCATATATAACATACATATGAATATGTACAGTAATCTAAGAAACTGCTTGAATAGGATGGAACGAACGTATCGTACGAAACGGTAAGAATGGTATTGATCGAAGACAAATTTTTCTGTCCAGTAGTAGGATAGAATTCGGAGAGAAAAAGGAAAAGTCGCCCAATCCTCAATTCACCATTAATAACAAAGGGATGTCCCATGAAATATATTTATTACACACAAGCGCGCGATCTTCTTAGTTAGATAATAAATGCGCTTGGCACAATAAAAAAAAAATTGCATCTTATTTCGTAAGCAACGTAACGTGATCGGAGCCGCGATATTTGCTGATTGCGCGCGGGAAACGCGTACGTACGAGAATCTTGCAGGTAGAGAACCTAATAACGCGATGGTCAGTGAAATTGCGACCTAGTTAGGCTGCCTGACCCACTTGGACGCATCGTAATCGTCGTCGGCGCACGATACGGATTGATATTAGAGGTAAACACATCACGCCGCCGGAAGTCTCCCATTGCATCCTTGTTTGCCCAGAGCACACTGGTCGAGTTTAGTTTGCAGCCTTCAACAAAGGTTGTGCGAATGTCGGGAGTTTTGGCGCACGGCGGCGCAATTTCGTTTGATGAGCGCGCGTAGTTAAAGTTCCATGCCATTTGTGTAACGTGTAATTACTCGTATCGCCGAAACTCCTTTCGCGTTTATTAAAATCGCACGCGTTCTCCATGGCAAACCGCGGATTAACAATTCGGGCAGTAATTATCCAACAGTCGACTGAGCAAACACAGTTAACGGCAACGGAGTCGCAATTAATTGCCGACGAATCGCATCACGCATCACGCAAAGTGTGTACCTGCGTATCATGAGGGCACCTTTCCGAACGGAGGAGAACAAGCGCGTAACGAACGACGTACACGGAGAAGCCCGGAGACTTATTTTCGGTCCATCCCAACCTTCGAGGCTATTTTCGACGCGCATGATAACCGGTTCCTCCTCCGAGCGACACGTACACGATAAACGCGAGTGTAGGGTGATCGACGGGTCATGGATCACGATGCTGGAAAGCAGACTGGCATAAGCGATTCGTAGCTAATCCAAAATAATCTAATCCAGAGAACGAAATCATCACAAAAATAAATCATATACAATGTTCAAGCCAGTTCAAGCTTATCAATACGAAACGGCAATACGAACGGCATTGATTATACTTTTATCAGTAGCAGATTACGATATCCAAGCACAAATGTCAATAAGTCGTGAATAAAGATGTCAAAAACGATTACTCTTCTATAAATATCGAGTATAAATAAAAATATTTTATAAGTATTTTTAAATATTTTAAATATACAAATAATTAAAAACAATACAGATAATTAAAACCAATGCAGATTTTCTGTTTCATATTGGTCACGCAACCTTCTTTGTGTCGATAACAACTTGTAGATCGTGAAGGACATCGAGTTATTTGTAACGTCCCAGCTTTTATATATGTGTGCTCTCTCGTATATGTTTCATTTTTAAATAGAACCGCACCGGCGAAAAAGAAATGAGAATTGATTCTCGGAGAAAAATCCTGGAGATGGTCGCGGGGTGACACCGGGTCGGAGATAAATTGAATACGATCGTTCTGATATCCTCCGTTACCATCTCTCTCTCTCTCTCTCTCTCTCTCTCTCTCTCTCTCTCTCTCTCTTTCCGCTGCAACAGTCTCAAGCGCAACTTATAGGAATGATAATGCAGCGAGCATAAGGAGTGTGTAATAGAAACCAAATGAGTTGCCGTCCGAGCGACGCTCCTACCCTCACAATCAGACGCATTTCGTGAAGGAAAGGATATTTTTATGAGGACTCGGTTAGAAGAAATGCAATGTCTCCAAGAGAAGGGCGAGCTAGCGCTATCTAATTCCGCTCATGGAGCAAAATTTAAAACTCTCCTACAAATCTAACGCAAAATACGATTACGCGGACGAAAATTTGCATTTCCTCTAAATATTTCGTGCTTTCCCGTATATACCTGAATTTTTCACTAACAATAAATGGCTCGTCTTTCAGGTCTATCCCACGGTAAATAAATTCGAAAAAAACTCACGCAATGGGAGACTTTTCGCAGTGTAAGGTTACAAAAATACATTTCGAAGAGCCTTTTCGAAGAGCTTTTTCAAAGAGCCTTTCCAAAGCTCCCTCCTGAAATCCGAAGAGCCGTTTAACGACACTGCCGTGACAAACGAGATTTTCAGATCACGCCGACCTTGTGTCTTCACGACATCTGTTGCGCACGTGAAAGCTAGGACCTAGGCCAAGATACGTTCGTAACTCTCGTGTAATACAAAACGCACATTAACCCATTAAGGGTCCTGGAAAGATGAACACAAAGACGCCCCTCGATACAAGCTATTATGTCTCGCGGTCGTCTTTACAATAAATCAAACGCTTACTAAAACGTCGTCTAGATCTCTGTTATACCTGCTAGTATAGATATTAGACATGTCGAAACAAAAATTATAGAAATAGACGCTGAATTGAGTAATAAATCTAGTCTGTTCCTAATATATCGTGCAAATGTTACTTAACGCATGAATCAGTATCAGCGTTCCGAACGCTTCGAGATAAGGTAACGTTTGTTTTCGTCGGTTATCAAGACTGGAGTACTTTTATACAAATTTATCGCTTATCGTTGCGAATCTCCGTAAACATAGAATGGATATACCCACGATCGACCTTTGAACAGAAACATTTTTTGCGAGACAAGGCAACGTCCAATAAATTTCCATAGCTGGACAAACTGGATCGTTTTCTGAATTTTTCTTAAAACCAGTTTGAGTTCAGCCTAATCGACGGCATCCTCGATAGACAGGAATCATTTTTATTGGAATATGCAATCGTATACAAAGCTTCCCAGATTAACGAGCAAAAAACAACCGATACAAATCGGTAAAAACAACGGCGAATTACGCGACATTACTCCGAGATTGCATCCGTGTATAAGAGAGACAAAAAAGGTATCGCGACTATCGCGAGGCGAGCGAAAGAAGTTTCTTGGTATCGAAACCGAGAACGCCCGCGGCGTCTAAACTTTGCTGGTATACGCGAAACTTTCCTCGGTAGAGATCGACGATCGGGATCGCTATATCAACGCGACTCGCTCGAGCGCGAATACGCGCCGCGGAAATCATTGAAAAGATTTGACGACTTACAAATCTACATGCCGAAGGACGGAGGTAGCGCCGAAAATCGCGATCTCATTTAACTTTTAACCCGATCTTTGAGCCGGCGGCCGGCGCGGCGGTCTTCGTCGTCGTCGAGAGGGGGATTGTCGTCATTCCCGTCATTGTGCCTCGCGCACACCGCACTTACGTTCTCGTATGAAATCATGAGTATCGCCGCGCTTCGAGGCGTTGTTGCGCAACACGAGGACACGCTCTCTTCGAGCTGCAAAATAGCGTACAATTGTCCCGAATCGCGCCTGGAAGTGCTCCAGGCGAGGAGTTTGCACGATGAATCATTCAAAGGTCGACAAGAACGGGGGAACGATTCGACTTCACACACTCCTCTCTCTCTCTCTCTCTCTCTTTCTCTCTCCAATGGATTTTGATTAATCGTAATTTGATGCTACACGAACGGGACAATACGACTCTCCTTCCTCTCAAAAAAGGAAACAAGGTGAAACTTGACGAATTGCTAATATAACGTTCTGTCATTCTGGAACTTTTGACTCCCGAAATACATTAAATGTTATCTCGTACGAGATAAAAATAGCTATATCTTACTTTATTTTATCAAAATTTATCATTATCCTAATAAAATTATTTATTATAAGTACTTTATCAGAATAAATCATTATTATTTTGTATTATATTAACGCTCGATTTGAAATACAGGATGATCGATTTCAACTAAAAACGCAAACTTATGAAATCAAATATTTCCATAAATATAATTAGGCTAAATCATTACCGTATAATTTATTAACGACTGACGTCAGATCCAAGACGACCCGAGACGGTCGACTTGAACCGAAAAAGCAAATGTGTGAAGACAAATATTTCCTCGTGGACGTAATCTCGGAGGGAATTTGGAGTCCGTTAACACGAAGCGTATATGGATTGTTGATCTATGTAACTTGCACGTTAAGATAAGCGTTTCGTATTTGCGTCTATAGCGGCGAATTTGATTTACCCAGCGCGAATATTACACGGCGGCGTAAACACGGAGGCCGCGCGGGCGAGAATAAGCGAAAATTAGCCACACTTTTCCGTTATACCTTGGGATTACGCCTTGGGACACTCCAGACTGATAATTCTCCATATTGTTTATAATTTATTTCCTGAACGATCGTCCGAGGAATTATCGGAGTAATAGAAGAATTACTACCGCGCATATTAGAATACATAGAGCGTATTGTAACGTAATGTATACATTTAATTTGGTGTCACCTCTTGGGCTTAAATCGTAGATATAATTGCGGAGTCAATTAATTCTGAAAATAGAGGGGTTTCGCCGAATTAAATTTCAAGTACGTAAAATAGATGAAAAAATATAAGAAAACTTCTCCGCCAATCTCAAGTAAACTTGGCAAAAATTTCAACTCGCGGCCAAGTTATTAATGTTGGAAACACAGAAATTACACGCAAATCTCATGCATCACCTTCGGTACCGTTGTTTTACCTTCCATATCGCAGAATGAAACATTTGTCGTTCCACTTTCCAAGTTAAATTCGATTAGTGCGAACGTTCGTTCTTTATAAAATTTGAAACGAACTGCTCGCGCCCGGCGCTATGTTCACGCTGTACGTACGCTGTACCACTTACCTTTTCGAGACACTCCTGGCCGATGGCCTTCGGGTCGACCTGCACCTCGAGGATGACGGAGTTGGCCTGGCTGACGAGGCACCACATCTTCGCGGTCGCTCCTCCCTCGACGACCTTCGAATCCCCGTCGAACTAATTCCTCGCCGTTGCGTTGCCCGGCCGGCGTTGCGAGTTGCGACTCTCCTCCTCACAAGAACCAATATTCACTTTTATCGCGACGCGCGTTCACGACGTTCACGTTTACGACGTTTGCGACGAGAACGACGAAGGCGAAGGTGACGGTGACGGTGACAACGAGGACGATAACGACAATGACAGGGACGACAAGGACGACGATAACGACGGTCTCTCTTGCTCCGGATACGCGGCTGGTCGGCGACCGGTCGTGCCCGGCGGTACGTTCTTTGTCATAACAACAAAACTTCAAAAGCCACGTACGTGCACAGCTGTCACTGAGACGGGCTCGCGCGGCGCTACGACTACGTGCGACGTCGACTGCGTCAACAACGTGCTCGCTCTCGTACCGGAGTAACCGGAGGCCGAACGCGCCTCGTCGGCTTCCATTTCTCGGCGCGGAATGGCACACGCACTAACCGCTCTCGTCACCGCCGCCGCGCCGCGGCCGCCGCGGGTCAGTTCGCGAAATCGAATCGCTTTCCGGCCGCTCGATCGAGTGGCGCTAGCACCGCGGTCCGATACTACGTCGGAGTCGGAACTGGAACACGGACGCACGCACACGCGAGCGGCACATTCGGGTATGCGGCGCGCCGACCGAGTGGGGGAGACAACGTACAGCTGATCGTCCCCACTCTCCACCACCACGCGCGCGCGCGCGTGCATAACGCCTCACCATCCCCCCCCACCACTACCATTACGCGCGAACTTTGGAACCGTTGTTTTGTATTACAATTCACGTCAGGCTTCAGGGTGGAATTCTATTTGTAATTTTGTACTTTGGACCCGCATAATGTATATATATAATGCATAATACATTGTTTCTTCAAATGTTTCTCGCACGCATGTTTATCGCCAGCAATATTCGCATTACGAAATAAAGAGAATTATAAATAGACAATTTTATTCTCAGAATTCTGACACGGATTTCGGATCGTCTAATATACGAAGTTGGTTCAACGGAATCTGTAGAATTCGATAATTTGTGACTTCAATTTAACACTCAATTTGATCACTTTGATTTCGCGCGATTATAAAATAACGACAAAATATTATATACAACAGATTTTATTACGATTTTACCAGATTGCCCGAAATTAATTTGATAATCCGTAGCAATCGTACGATTACTGTACTAAAAGAGGAATTAGCTTGAATTGAAAAGCAGCGTGCATAAATGCTCGAATCATGAGGGAAGATTACCGCATCAAATTTTCACGCGCTATCAATAATTGACAAGACCGATAACATGGTTATTGATCCAGGTTTAACAAACCTCTCAATATATTTTGCGATTCTTTAAATATTCCGCTAATTGAAACTGCAAAATTCAGCGGAATTATTCAAAAGAAGAATTATCTTACGCGCCGAGGAAACGAAACTTCTTACATAATCGTACAGAGTATATGGGTAGAATCTTTATCTACTTTCCACAATACGCATTGTAAATTTAGCACGTGTCCTTGTGAAAACGTAGCTCTTCTCTTACTGACGAAATCGATGTTTTGTCGAGCATACGTGCAGTTCTATCCGAAAATAACAGTTAGTAGAGCGAAAAATATAGCATTTTGTGGGTTTTCCTTTTTTTTTTGTATTTTGAACACTTAATACTGTACAGACAACCAACCAGCTCACAGAGACAAGGATATACATGTAAGGCAAAGCTGCCCATCTCGCAAGATCAACAGAGAATTTAAACGTTCCCGCTGAAGGATAAGAGGCTTGAATGTTTGCTACATCGTCGCGCGGTCCACCGTCGACTGGGAGCGTGTCCGTGAACCGCGAGAGGCTGTAGGGAAAATGTCAATCGCGCGTCCTCGATGTGACAGAATCATGGAATGACATCTAATGGCGTACACCGAACAACATACAACTCGTAACCACCACCCTAAATCGTCTTAACCGTATCTAACTTAACAACCGATACGTCGTCTCGATGTGTCTAGGCCTTGACGCATCGGGTCGACGATACTCGGTTTGAGTACATTCACATTACATTTTTTTTGTCTTTTCTCTTTGTTACGATGCAACTACGTTACAGCAATTCTCAAACTGTCCAAATACGTGCCGGTGAAAAGCTCAGCGATAATAACAATACGATTATTGTCGTGTAGCAACTGCGGGAGAAAAAGATTCTAGTTAATAGTTTGAGTATCACTGCCTACAGCTACATTGTATACAGTTTCTCCGATAAAATATAACATGTCATACGATATAACAGCGATAAATACATATTGAGATATGGTGAACAGTAATATTTAATGTATATTTATAGCGTAAGACGCGTATCATATTTATAGCTATTAGACGCAATCCTTGTGGCTTAGACCTCAATGCGGTAATTACTGTGCAGTTCCGGCTTGATATCGTACACCAAATCCAAAATTTGAAGCATGACCTAAATTACACAGAGAGTCAATATTATAATTTTCTTAGATACCTGCCTTTTATTTATCGATTAAATTGACAGAGTGGACTTACCGTGTTTTTGTGCACGGCAACGGTCTGATTCATTTCTTCTATCTTGACTTTCGTGTCTGCCTCGATGCGCGCAGCAACGTCCTCTTTTGAACCCATGTGCTACGAGTAATATTATCATTATGTCATCGATTGACTTAAGTAATGAGGTGTAAATCTAATATCAACAATTTCAATATAAGAGAAATAAAATAATAATACTTACTTTGGCTTCAAAATCACGGAACTGTTTTTCTCGTTCCTGTCGATATTTCTCAATCTCATCCTGAGCCTCCTCTTTGGCCTGCTTCAGACGACGTGCCTTACCTGTGAAAGTACAAGATTACTTGTAATACAAGTGCAGTCCAGATCTTTTCTAAATCTTTTACACAAAATATTACATTCAGACTCAATTTTATCTCAACGTTATTACGTCAATGTTATATGAACTAATACCTAAACCTAACCATTAAGTCAGGATATTTATTGATAAAGCAAAATCTCGAAGAGAAATCGAAAGCTTCACTAAAAGCTGAACAAAACTAAGCATTCAGGCGACTGAATTCGCATAAACGTAAACGAGTACGATTAGTAGTAACACAAACAGATTGGACGCAGGTTAACCAAGACTATTCTCACTGTGAAGTGTAATTTCGTGGGTTACTGGACGGCGCGATTACAAGCGATTTCACCGTGCGTTTCACGGACCCAAGATTATCGTCGAGAATTCATTGCACGACGCACTAATCGCAGAAAATGAGTGAAATGAGTCAACGTCGCGGCCGAGAGATTACAGTCCGCGAGACCGTGTGATCGCAGTCGGCGCATTTGCGTCGCGCGGCGCGCGATTTTTTTTTCTTTCCCCCCGGAAATATTTCGGCGACGAATGCACTCACGTTTCCTGGCGTCCGAGACCTTCTCGGCGGCGCGCTTCTCCGCAGCCAGAAGCTGCTGAATACCCTGCGTCTGGCTAGCCATCTTTGCGAGTGGAGAACGACTAACTCTGTCACGAATCGATCATATGACTTTGGAGCTTCCGCCCTCTGCCCCGCCTTAAACGACGGCGCTCCGCTCCGTTCCGTGTCTCGTGCTCGCTCACGTGGCCCCGCTCCTTCCGTATCACTCGATTGTCCTACGTATCCGGTCTCTCATTGATAAGTCGGCGAATGGTCACCAAGACGTCCAAGACTATTCGCACGAGCTGTTTTTAACAGCTCCTTTCAAGAGCCTATGCGTTAAATTCAAAATGTTTCACGAAAACTTTGCACGATTCGCTTCCCGGAATTTGTCATATAACTGATGAATCGCGACACCGGATATCAAATAAAATTTAAATGCAGAATAAATTTAAATTGTAAACATGGAATCGCTTCTTCAAGTTCCCTTATCTTACAGCTTCTTGGTCGATTTAAGAATGTAAAGCTTAAAAATAGATTCAGCTAATAGAATTAAAATGGAATTAAAAGGTTTCAGTGAAAATTGGTAAGGATATAGAGTTGATATTGTGATCTTTTATACACATATATATTCAGGTATATATTCCTAAAAAATTATCATTTTTAAAATCAAATATATATAATATAGATACATTTAACCTGTCTCTTGTAATGTTTTTAACATACAACAATTCGTATCTCTTACACATAAAGTGGAAGTTGTTAAATCTGCAGTCTAAGACGCAGTCACAAAGCATATTACTTTGGCCGAAAACTTCATACTATACGAGTTCCTCGAACGTTTACCCTGTCGTTCAACCGAATCTTCTCTTGGCGTTTCTTTTCCTCTTTAAACGCTTCGGTATTTGCCTTTCGCTCTATCCTTCTTTCCTAAAATCGTCAGAAATTACGTAACACATAAAATTAATAAAATCTACTCAATAAATGTTTAATAAAATTACTTGTCTGTATTCTTTGAGCTGCTTTTTTCTCTCTCTTCTCTCATCAGTAGTTTCCCCTTTGGGTCTTATGCTTAAAATGCTTAAGGTAGATTTTCTACTTTCCGCTACAGATTGTGGGCCCTTTGACGCATTATTTTCCAAATTAAATTGAGCCAACGTTTCAGCTGTTAATTTTCCGGTATTGCCTAATATATTTTTTGGAATACCAGATTTTCGATCAATTTCAATTTTCTTTGATCGCTATTAAAGAGAAACAAGCATAGACTGATAAGTATTACTATATTATACGTAATTACATATATATATTTATCACTCAAATTAATCATTCTTATACATAACTTTTAAATATTTTTTTACCTTGGGAGGTTCCGAAATTAATTTAGGGTGATTGTAAATGTTACTGTATGTGCTAAGAATACTTTCACAGTCCCATTTATCTTTTCCACGAGCGTCGACAACAAGTTTTTCTGCATCTTCGTCTTCTGAGCTCGAATATTCTTTTTCCGCGATCTTCATTCTACCTTTCATAAGTTCCGCAATATTTTCCGTCTGCAAATACAAGTGAAAATAGTACATTTTTCATCGTACTCTTAGATCATACTTACATCTTCCTTCTGCTTCCTTTCAAATTCGTCAGCGTATTGCATAATAAATTTCGAATCATGATCGATATATCCTTCTATTTCATCACAATCTAGAGCACCAATTTCATTTTCATCGTATGCAGCATACATCTATGTAATAAACCAGGAAAGATAAGAACACATACAACATACTTTCATAATACTTTAAACAATCAAAATATAAACCTTTTCAAATTTGTCATCCAGCAATGTAAGTTGTTGATTCCTTCTCATCACGCTGCTACTCATAGAGTATTCTGTAAACCTTGATTTAGTTTCCTCATCTTTAAAAGTATATTCAGGTCCATTTAAACTGCACACTTCATCCGCCTCTTCGTCGGATAAATCCATGTGACCGTCAGATGAGACATCCGATTCACTATGTTCATTCCCTGGTTCGTTCAATTCGTATTCTAAAAATGCAAAATTACACACAGATCAGGTATAAACGTATAATATGATATACCTTAATAAACTTACCATATTCTCTATCGGAATCCTCACTGTCGCTACTTTCAGCGTTAGCCAATTCTATGAAATTATCCTCTAGCTGATTTTCGGGATCGTCAAAATCAAAATCCTCATCCATCGCAGCAACTATATCCGGATCGAGATCCAATCGTGGCCCGGAAATTGGTGCCGCTTTATTGAGCATACCGACTTCCTCCTCGACATTCGATGCGAATACAGAGGATGGCAGGTTGATTTTTGGAGTACTCTTGTCACATTTGGAATTACTAGGGTTCTCGACGCGTTCCCATTCCACTGACAATGTGTTGACATCTCTAAGATGCTGCAAATAATTGTAGTCATCGTCAAAATAGATTCCATACTTCTGCTGCTCCTCTTGACGTTTCTCATTGTCTAATGACTTCTTTTTTGTTTTCGCTGCTTGTGCATCAGCAGCTGGCACTAGGACTTTCTGCGGTGCTTTTTCATCCGCCACTAATGGATCTTGTTGCGAGCGATGAACCAAGTGGAATGTTACAGAATCCTTCTTGTCGATAAACTTTTTCTTTTTCCCCTTTGGCTGTAATTACATTAGTTATTCTATAGGTGAAATGACTTAACCTATTAGCATTCTATAAAAATGAGTTATGGATACACATTAAAGATTACCATCGTGATCTATCGTGTCCAAACTGATCGTATGCACAAAAATCGATAAAATATGCAACGAAAGTAATCGTCGTAACGTAATATTATTGTATATTTGAAAATTCTGCGTTTATGCCTTTATAAACACGTAGCGTGAAGGAACATGTGGTTTCAGAGTAATTCAGAGTTTCAAACACGATGGATGCACAATTCTCTAGCAACAATGCGCAGAAAGACAAAAATCCCTTGATTCTTCCAAAAGCATTTCCATTGGAAGACTGGAACAAAGGAGCAGGTCTGTTCTATTTTAGCTGAGCTTCTTGCACGGTTCATCTTTTTCTTTTTCTCTCCAACGTGAAAAGAAAAAGAGAAAAGATAAACCGTGCAAGAAGTTCAGCTGAAAATAAAGCAGAGGGGATAATGAGGATATCCCTACTCTAATCCGCAGGTGCGCGGTGCGCAGGGAACCACAGGTGATGGTGTCGATGGTGATAACGCAAACGGCAGGAGGGGGTAGGGATGATTATTGATGTCCGATAAATGTGAGGAAAACTTACAGCGCCGTAAGAAAATGGGGTTATTCGATCGTTTAGCGAACCTCTTAGGTCTTAGGAAAAAAGAAGTAAACGTTTTAGTAGTGGGCCTTAACAACAGTGGTAAGTCGACGGTCATAAATAATTTCAAACGCGAGGATGACCGTTGCATAAACATAGTGCCCACTGTCGGGTTTAATGTCGAAAAATTCGCATGTAAGTCAAATAGCGAGGAGCGACAAAGTGTGAGATACCGTTGCTTTCAACGCTACTTTCACGCGTTCGCTATTGCACACTTGCACAGTCTCAAAATCACATGTACCATTGTCTGTTTATTTTACAATAAGATACAAATACAGGGGGATGACGTGATAAAAAAAAAGATATATATATGAAATGTATTTTTTGAAATGCATAGAACATATATATAGTTTATTTGCAGTAAACACACCTCGTTACCTCTCTCATACTTTTATATACTTATACACGTTTTTTTACTTCCTAACTTTTTATCATGCTTCTTGTAAGGCGTTGATTTGTCTTCATTTGTGGTGACAATCCAGTGGTCTTCGTGCTACTTCGTAATGATCGAGTATTCCTTTCCCGAGTCTTTTCATTGCCTAATTGATCGCTATTTTTGGAGTCATCTAATTTATTTGCCGTTTTCTTGGTCGTTTCAATAGATGTAATATTATTAATCTCTAGACTAGGTGATAGTCTTCTAATGTTGACACGTAGTGGAGTGCTGGTAATTAGTTTGGCAATCGTCAACTGCTTGTTATCAGGTCTATTATGCAGTCTTGATTCAACCAAAGATATTTTACTTGTATTAGAATTCGTAGCCTCGTGAGTTTGGAAATTTAATTTTGTCTGCTTCAATTTAACTTTAGATTTGTGCATTGGCGTTGTTTCTTCCAGTGGATTTATTGGTGGATTTTTAATAATTTTCTTTTGGTTTGTGTAGGTTTGAATAGGTGTAGCCTTTTCTGTTTTCTTCTTTCTTATCGGAATTTGCCGTGGTTTCTCAGTACGTGATACTTTCACTTTTGAGTGGCTATCCTCTTGATCATCTTCCGATGAGTCAGTAATATTTCTAATAAGTCTTCGCCTTTTCCTTTCATTCCATTTCTTATGCAATTCACGCTTTCTCTGAAGCTTTCTCAACGATCTCTTCCGATCTGATTGCAGCTGAACTAAGAAGTCTTCTTCATCAGAACTGCTAGTATCCTACAAATAAAATTATAGATAAAATATCTTTTTTTAATCATAAACAAAAATCTGAGAAACATTTTTATATACTTAAATGCCATACATTCAATTCCAATGGACTTTCACTGTCGTCTGCCCGTGTCCATGTAAATGTGGAATTGTCCTCTGGATCTAGAATCTTGTCGAATGCAGTTTGTAAGTCTGATATTCTAAATTCCTTCAAGCATATCTTTAATCTCTGTTTTGCATCGTCGCTTAACTTGCTTTTGTTCGTTGCATTAACCTCAATTTTGTAAGGTCTTGCTTTGTCGAAATGATAAAGCAAATGTATTATCAAGTCTATATATCTGTCACTTTCATTATCGTGTACACCATACAATTCTAAACTGATTTGCTTGAATCCAAGGTCTGACTGCAGAGTACAATGCTTCATATGTGAAATACTATTCTAAAGAAAAAAACAAACGTTTATTTACTTGGTAGTATTATAGCGGTATAGCTTATTATAAGTAAATTATACTGTATATCAAATGGATGCGTTCAGCCGATACTCCGCTAGCCTAGCAATCGTGAGCAGTTGCTCGTTTTCGCTCGTTCCTCTCCTTTGACCCAATGGATTAAAAGGAGAGGAAACGAGCGACTGCTCACAATTGCTAGGCTAGCGGAGTATCGGCTGAACGCACCCATTCATTTTCATAAGACAAAATTATACCTGTAACGACAGAAATTGCTCTTGCCGCGCCGTGTAGCAGTCGACATTGTGCTTGCAGTTCTTTATAAAGGCAGTTAAATTTTTCAATTGGTCGATAGGCGTTTTGGATAATATGTAATTCATATCGATTGACATTGGCATCACCCATTTTCCCAGATTGCCCTTTCCATCCTTGATGAAGATCTGCACCGCGTGAGTGTTGTCCTTCTGCTTTTCGTTTGTCGATGTGAAATTAAATATAATCTCGTCCCTCCGAAATTTAACGCAACGAAACCCGGCGAATCTGTACAGATCGTTCTGCAGATCGACCTCGACATTCGGCACTCTGTTTCGCGTCAGCGAGGAAACGTCCCGGCTCTGCAAGGATCTTTTGGTCACGCGTTCCTCCACGTCCTTAAAGCGCAACGTCTGCAGACTCCATTCGCACTGTTTGACGATACATTTCAGCTCCTGTATCTCTCGGAGCAGCCTCTCCTTTTCCGCGGCCTCCGCGCCTATAAAAGCCGATAAAAAAAAACGATTTACTTCAGTTCGACGGATAAACGTCGCTTCAGTGGGGGTTAGGATCTTCATTCGACGAGCGTTTCACGCACCTTTGTTCGCCGGCTCGGTACTTCCGTCGTCGCTACTAGAGGAACTGCGCGTCTGCATTTTCGTTCAGCAAGGTCATTAGATCACTTGCACTTCTTGCAACAATAACCGAATCGAACAAACACGTGCCAAAATTACTTTTGACGGTTTTCCATTGTTTTCAAATTCATATCTCGACTGCTCCACGCTCCACTTTCCTCGACGTACGGATACTTTCAGATGGCGCGTTGACGTTTCTGCTTTCTGCTTTCCTTAAGGCGGTTTTCACCGAGCTCCAATTAATCTAATCGGTGATTAAAGACAACTTCGATCAAGCTCCGGTTAATTAACGATTAAAAAAATCAAACAATTAATCGTTCTAACCGTATCTATGCCGTCCAACAAATTAGGATAATTTTACCAAATGATATAAATTATTTCACTTATTATTTACTTATCAAGCAACACCTGTATTATTTTGTTAATATGGAGAGAATAATCATTATTTTTTAATAATTCTGCCAAGTCAGCCCCATGAAAAATAAAAAGTAGGAAAATTGAATGAAATATTAAAAATATAAAATTGTTCACGAATTGATACATACAATACCCAGCAAACACAGAAAACACCGAGTGAGCAATTTGCTATCAAATGGGTATAATATATGTAATCCACATAATATCAGCACAATCAGCACTTTGCTTTTATTTCAATGCAATTAAACCGAAACCGTTGTTTCAGTTAAGAATGTCAACTTCACCGCATTCGATATGTCGGGCCACGATCGTCACAGATCATTGTGGGAGCATTATTACAAAGATTGCCACGGGATCATCTTCATAATCGACAGCAGCGATAAACTGCGACTGGTTGTCGTGAAGGAAGAGCTGGACATGCTCCTGCAGCATCCCGACGTGGCAGGTACGTCTCTCGTGATGAAATTTAATTAGCGATAATGAGTGCTCGTTTGAAACGAGAGGACATGATTTAGAAGATTTAATTGCAAGACCTTCCAAAATGTATTCGTATATCTCGCTATTCGTGATTTCCTAAGTGGCAGACTTGGCACGACCGAAAGCGAAGTGAATATTTCAGGACGCAAGATCCCCATTCTCTTCCTGGCGAACAAGATGGACCTGCCAGATTCCTTGACCACCGTGAAACTGGTCGCCGGGCTGGGACTCGAGCGGATACAGAACAAGCCCTGGCACATACGGGCGACGAATGCGTTAACCAGCGAGGGCCTGCAGCCGGCGATCGAGTGGTTGACAGATCAAATTCGCGATATATTTATCAATAAGAGATAAACCCCGTCGTTGCACAATGAGACGCGACGTTTCCTGGCAAAGTCCCCGTCGCGTTGTCAGATCGAACTTATCGATGTCTATAGCATAATTTATGCGTCAATTACACCGGTGTTTCTCATGTGGCGTTTCCCCGAGATGCGATTCCACCCCGCGAAGGCAAAATTTCGACGTAAAATTGTCATTGCGAGAAGACTTATTGCGAAACGGCCTATAATTCGGCCTGTAATAGCTTCACGCGGGATCTGCGTAATTAGCGCAAAGGAGCGATCGGGAGTTTTACGATTTCTAGTCGAATTACAAGAATCTCGTGACGAGGTTCAATTAGGAAACACCATCACGAGCTCAATACAATTCCGTCCAGAAAAATATATGCGTAGAGAAGCATGTGTGTACGTAATGGCTGACACAATGTAATTGGGATGCAGCCGCGATGATTTAATTCCAACTTCGAAATATTAGTTTCATAATTAGCGAGCTTTGCAAAAATACGTTATTTTATTGTAATATTTAAAATAAATGCCGATCGGAGAATCATTGCACAGTTCGAAATTGATTCAGTTAAAAGATCCTGTCCTATTATCATTTTTTTTCCATGGAATGTGATACATCACGGCAATGGCGGATTTTAGCAACGTGGCTACTATAAAAATGACTTTAATCCAGAAATCAATTCGATCGATTTGGTAGGTAATTCAACCAACAAGCACTGTTTATAGCAAAATTTCCAGTTATATGTATACGTATAACTTTATTTCTAAAATCTTCAATGTGTTAATAAACGACAAAAAATATAATTTGTCGTAAGAATGGACCAATCACAATCGAATTTGAGGAGAATAATTGACTGTGCGTGGTCAATTCTTACGACTCACGACTTTACGACTCGCATTGTAAACCTAGCATTACACGGAGAATTTGATTGGCTGATCAGTTGCCGACGCACGATTACTGTACAACAGGTTTAACTGCGCCAGTTTGAAACTTGAACGAGAATGTTTTTCCCAAAGCTTTCCTTTCTCGCGTCGTTTATACATAAATTTTTACGCGTTTATTCAGATTTTTGTAAAGAATGTCGAATAGATCATAACAGCTTGCTGAGAAGCGCGAGAGAAGCGTTTGATCCTCGCGGATTCAAATCGTCCGCATTTCAAATCGTCTCAATTGCGCGCGCTGCCGTCCGGCCGCCATGACAGTCTCGGCGGCTGCGCGACGGCGCGGTGGCACTCGGCTGACTCGACTCGGCGCCGGCGGCGGCTTCGGTTCGGAAGGTGAGCGCGCCCCGCAATTACTCCGAATTTCACCCGGTCGAGAACGCGTCGCGGGCGCGAATTTGTGTCGGGAGTGCCGATTAAAGTGACGGGCGTGTGATTGTCGTGAATTCGTCGAGTACTCGAGACTGTGCCGTGTTCCGAGCGTCGGGACGAGTGAGGGGAGCAAAGCGCGGATCTCGTGCCGTGCCGCGGGTACGCGAGAACGAGAGCCTCGCGTTCTTCTGACAATGAGACAGTCGGGATGCTATCGGCATTACAGACGTAGCGTATCGAAGAATCGGATCGTTGATTACGCGACTACCTAACCTGAAATAATTGATCGAAAGCCGAGTATCGCGGAACGAAGCGCGATCCGTTTCGCGTATCGGAGTATCGCAAAATGGCGGTGTGAATTCGGATTTCTTTAAGGGTGAAGCGCGCGAATCGAGTTTCGAAATTGTGTGTAGTGCCGTCGTCGCCAATAGCGCCGTAGCGAAGTGATCATTTCCGGTGTTCATCGTTTCCTGGATAGGACCGACGCGACGCGACGGCGGGTGTCTCCGGATTCCTGGCGGAACTTGCGAGGGGGTGGAGCACACTGCAATATCCTAGCTGGTGAGTGAAATTAGATTCATTTTTACTTTTTAAATTAGATTCGTTCTTTAAATTAATAATGCGCGTAATTGTAATGAGGCACCTGCACACGATTGCGGTTACTTGCGAAAGATTTGTCGAATATTTATTGAAATAATTGAATAAAAGTAACCAGATAATATATATAATCGATGTGTGAAATTCGTGATTATAATTAGAATATATTTTTTATTTTTCCAGGTGCAGCCGAAGGCGTACTTAGCTAGGGTACAACGACGGTGAGTGAATTTACTGATAAATTTCATTATATTTGCGTATTTGGCGACACTGAAATGTCTCATCCGTTTTGTCTCTTCGCGTTATCAAGAATTCGACGAAAATTAGATTAACTTAACCAGCGATTAAACTAATTATAATTATCATCAGAACTATTTTATTAACGTTAAAATTATTAAATTATTTAATAACGGAAAAGAGATACGAGATGTCGACAACTCTTGCGTAATAAATGCGTAAGGTCATTTATTGAAATACACGATTGTCTCACAATTATATCTCGTCTTCGCCAGAGACGACTTACACATAATTCGAATTATACGTCATACTTATACATCATCGAAAATAAATACGCTGAATAATTATATCTATATCTCTTCTTTTAACATTTATGCAGTCTCGAGGAGTAGAAATTCCTGAGCATCGTATATGTACAGTCTAGAGAAGATATCGAAAGAAAGACTTCGTAACATTTGAAAATATAAGTATCCTCTCGTCGTCACATACATACATATATACTACGATCAACGAATCATAAACTGTGCGTTTTTTTTATAACTGGAACTTTGTGAGTAACGGGATAAAACATCTGAGGAGTCAATGGATCTCTCTTACCAAGTTCGATCTATTCGTTATTCGGCTTCACTATACGTAACCGGACACGACTTTACCGAGCGAATGGGTGTGCGTTCTATATGCGAATGGGTAAATAGTCTTATTTTCTGTTATGGGACAGGACGATTCCATAGATACCGTTTCTCTAGGTGGAATAGATCCGCCTGTTCCTAACAAAATAACCCCAGCCAGCTTGTCCATTGTTTGCGTTGTATAACGCAGAAATACACCTGAATCATCCGTACTGCCATCCTTGAAGCGATCAATGTGTGCGTAATGTACTTGCAGCACGATGTACCGAATGGGAGAATCGCCGCCTACTTTAAAGCTCACTCCTTCTGGTAGGCTTAATCCAGGAGCGTCCCTTGCCTATGCATAGATAATCTGTATAAATAAATGAACTTTTTTTCTTCAAGAGTCAAGATTTAAAAAGAATTTATGTTGAGTTCCTTCTTTACAAGCAGGTGCAGTATCTGGGTTATCTCCAGCATTCGCCATATAACGCCATATAAAGCTGAAGAGAATCACGCTTATCGTGTTCGGCCTCACGTTTGGCATGATAAGCGAGTATGTACAAGAGGCGTATATGCGTTCCCGTGAGATGCCGCCACCGCCATAAAATGTCGGGCTTTTAAAAATACCCCCCATTTGCTATTTGCGATTTGCGTCATTCGGCTTGGGTTAGGTCAGGCTAGGTTCCGTATCGACCGACCTGTAGCGTTTGACAGGTGGACTCCTTGTCGTACCATTGATAAGTGCCGACGCGTGAAAAATACTGGCGCAACGAAAATGTGGGAGAAACGCGCGTTTACGCGTTACTTTGTGTTCGCCATTCTTTTCAAGTTTACGTGCTGTTACTTTGTCAAGAGGTACTCGCTTATCATGCCAAACGTGAGGCCGAACACGGTAAGCGTGATACTCTTTAGCTTTTTCAAATAACATAAGAACAATATACGTACGATGTACGTCATACGAGATCTAATTACATGATAACATATGGCTCTTGCAATATATAAAAATGAGATGTATGAAAAAATCAGTCAACTGACAGTTTTCTTGCAAATATATTTATATACTTTGAATTATTTTCAATTTAGTTAATAATTTTTATGACGATTATTATATACTATATACTTACAGTGGTGAGAATGCTAGCTTAAGAGATTACTTATTTTAAGCTAGCATTCTCACCACAATTTTTTAAAGGTAATTTTTATGAAATGAGAATGATACCTGATATTCTGCTTACAGCCCGAATTATATTTATGCACTCCAGTTAGGGTTGACTTTGCGAGGAATTATTATATTGTTGGTTTTGAGCCGAATGCAACAATGGAAACGGCTCACCATATGCTTGTCTATGGTTGCACCAAGCCAGGTAGCTCAAAGCCAGTTTGGAACTGCGGAGAGATGGCGAATGCTGGAAATAACCCAGATACTGCACCTGCTTGTAAAGAAGGAACTCAAGTAATATATATTAACATAACATATTTCATAAATTCTTTTTAAATCTTGACTCTTGAAGAAAAAAAGTTCATTTATTTATACAGATTATCTATGCATGGGCAAGGGACGCTCCTAAATTAAACCTACCAGAAGGAGTGGGCTTTAAAGTAGGCGGTGATTCTCCCATACAGTACATCGTGCTGCAAGTGCATTACGCACATATTGATCGCTTCAAGGATGGCAGTACCGATGATTCAGGTGTAATTCTGCGTTATACAACGCAAACAATGGACAAGCTGGCTGGGGTTATTTTGTTAGGAACAGGCGGATCTATTCCACCTAGAGAAACGGTATATATGGAATCGTCCTGTCCCATGACAGAGAATAAGACTATTTACCCATTCGCATATAGAACGCACACCCATTCGCTCGGTAAAGTCGTGTCCGGTTACGTAGTGAAGCCGAATAACGAATGGATCGAACTTGGTAAGAGAGATCCATTGACTCCTCAGATGTTTTATCCCGTTACTCACAAAGTTCCAGTTACGTACGGTGATGTATTAGCTGCTCGTTGTACAATGAGAAATACGCGCGATAGGACTACGTATATCGGTGGTACGAATGAAGATGAAATGTGCAATATGTATATTATGTATTACGTTAAGAATGGCTCTCCGCTTGAACGGAAATATTGCTTCACCATGGGGCCTCCTTTATATCATTGGAAGCAACAATTAAGTAATATTCCCGACAGAGAGGCATCTACTCTATAATATATCAAAGTGTGTCATTCAGCACAAAGTTAGATCGATTTTGTTTTATCATAGAGAATTAGGATCAAATGTAAACATTTCCGCAGATTACATATTTAAATGCATTTGAATCCAATTCGTCAGTGAGATAGGGTCCATATTTGGGGACCAAGCCGTCCTAATATAATTTATGACAGGTTTTTAAAATAGTTTATTATTTATTATTCTTGCGGCTCTTTATCAGTTCGATTTATTCTATCGCAATGTTCGGTTTAGAATTATTTGTTTAATTTGAAACAACTTGGAGGTTTTATCTCAGCAAGATGACTGCTATTATCCAGCATACGCACAAATTATTCCAAATTAATTTATAATTTATATTTTTAAGTGATTATAAGTATTTTTAAGAATACTGTAATCAGGGTACATTGTACTTATTTTACGTAATTACTTACGTAATTTTTTAAAGAACTCGGTATCCAATTTATAATATTGGAATTCTCTTCTTGTCAATAACTCTTCTTGTCAATTCTTATAAGTGTGTCATATGATCATTCAAATTGATATTGCAATCAGCAATGCTACAAATTGCTGATTGACTATATGTATATATATATATATATATATGATATATGTAATTTTCGTGACGAAAAAAAGTCTAAACTGAAGTCTACTAAAATTTGCTTGTTATCTAATTTATCTCTAAATTATTGTGTTGTGTTTTAAAATTCTTAATTGCGAAGACAGTTATGATTTACATAGTTTGACTTCTAGTATTGTGTTTTATCCGATTAGAGCTATCATGTATATCAAAGCATGCAGATGTGATATAAAATGGTAAACTTAGGCCTAGCGTTTCAGTTAATATTTATTATTATATGCAGGTTATTTGAAAAGATTGGAGAAATTATTGGAGTTGAGATCAATGTTACGGTACATGTTACATACATTCAAATTTATTTTAATAACCAATTCATTGAGATACAGCAGTATCTTTGATTTTGAAAGCCACTCGTACGACGCATTTAAATAATTTCATAACTGGCACAATGATTATAAAAAAACGCACAGTTTATGATTCATTGATCGTAGTATATATGTATATATGTATGTGACGACTGACGAGAGGATACTTATATTTTCAAATGTTACGAAGTCTTTCTTTCGATATCTTCTCTAGACTGTACATATACGATGCTCAGGAATTTCTACTCCTCGAGACTGCATAAATGTTAAAAGAAGAGATATAGATATAATTATTCAGCGTATTTATTTTCGATGATGTATAAGCATGACGTATAATTCGAATTATGTGTAAATCGTCTCTGGAGACGAGATCTAATTGTGAGACAATTGTGTATTTCAATAAATGACCTACGCAAGAGTTGTCGACGTCTCGTTTCACGCGTCTGCGAAGTACACCGATCGCGCATCGGACATTTCCTGCGGAGCACGTCGACCGAGCGGTGCACTCTCGTAATTGAATGCAGCAGTTCGTTGTACAAACCACGAACGATACTATATCACGTATAGTCCGACGCTAATAAAGTTCTCTTGGCCGCTACATATACAATTTGTCTTTTGTTTGCATATATTCTAAGCAAATTGTATTGCGGCGTTGTTCTACTCGTCACATGTACGTACATACGCATTGGCTATCGTGTTCCGCTTTGAGGTGCTCACTCGGTATCCTATTTTTAATTTTTATGTTGCCACAGAATTTCGAAATTAATTTTACACTAGGCGATCTATCTTACGCGACACGTCGAATCGCTTTTCTTTGCTTAAAATAATTTATTAGATGTGGCTAATTTTCATCCCATCACAGCGCGAAGTACGTATCGTAGCAAAAGAACAAACTGTAGATTAAAAAGTTAAGATTCAGTTGCAGTAATGAGGGTTCTAATAGATCCATGAAAACCAGTCGTGAATTCTGGGATTTAAGCTAAGTACAGACGTTTGTTACGTGCAATTCGCGGTTTCATTAAACATAAAAGGTGCATCAAGAGAAAGAGAGAGAGGTAGTCCCGTCAGGGTTTTTAATACCGCAATAAAGCCACGTCTTGCGCGGTTTTATGTCAGATTTATCGCACACGCTTTCTATAGCAACGATCTCGCTCGTCTCTCGTGTATTTTCTCGGCGCCTTCCGCCGTCGCGTCGATCGATCGACGAAAAGCCGACGAATTAATACATGTTTCATGACGTGCCCGATATATCGAACCGCGTTAGGCTGTTGTTACGTCTAACATTCATGCACGGACCGTGACGGCAAATTAGCTGACTCTCGATTAACCGTTACACCGATCTTATTTGCCGATTACGAAATTACATTCGTGGAACTTGATGAGAGGATTGATCACGAGGTCGAGCTATTTATGAGCGATAGGTGTGTTTAAACGACGAGCGGAATTAATTAACCTAAGTGGAGCTGTGGGAATTGGCTAATCGATTATCTTACAGCTAGGAGTGCTCCCGTTTTGTTGCATATTGCGCAGAATTGTCAGCGATATTCCTTTCATACACAGTACGTTACTAAATAAACTTTGCAGCCATTATTTAGATTTTGCTAGTGTATTTTTATTATTTTATTGTCGAGTCTATTTTATTTATTAGAAATAATATCTGAACGTCAATAAATTCTTCCAATCGCGGTTGAAAATAGAAGTAGGTACCTCTCTTCACGAATGACGCGTTAGAAAAAGAAATAAATGACAAAACCTTTTTTAAACTTAATTTTGAATAATTTTTTTGTATCAAAAATTGACTTTAGCTCTTATAGACTGTACAAAATATTAAGCGTCGAAAACGACAGGATTATTAGATGACATCCACTTAAACTAAGTTGCTAAGAGAATATTGAAATAAAATTAATTAAAGAATATAATATGGAAGTATATCAGTAACGTTCTGAACAAATGCACTTAAATCTCAATAAATCAAACGTTTTTAGAAATTAATTCGTGTATAGATAACTAATATCTATAGTTTTTAATAACGGTGGAAAATTATGCGTAGAATTCGATAGTTTCTGTCGATGAATTACAAGTTTCGTTGATATTTCGAAGTAACTTTACGGATGTTATTTCCATGCCGTTCTATTGTCGTCGAATCATTGATCGTTAAAAGTATGCCGGTAACCGACGACGTACGTTTTTGGAAAATAAATGACCGGTGAAAGTGCAGCGGGCGAGTTAAAGAATCTAACGGAGGTGTGGCTGACGATTTTAAAAGCCATTGATGAGAGCCGAAAGAGCTAATAAAGTCTCCTCTCCCTCTCTTTCGCTCTTTCCAAGCTTGTAACGTCTGTCTTACATATGATAATTTGTAGCCGCGTCAGAGTTGAAAATTGCCTGCTTGGCAATCGTTAAGTCATCATGCGACGCATGTAACTGAGTTTATAAATCTGCAGCTATATTGATTTTCAGTCGAATTGTTATTTTTATTCGCGTGTATAGAGAGAAGTTGCATTCAAAATTAGGTCAGACCATAATTGTTCTATTAAAAGCTCTATTATCTTCGTCATTAAACACAAATACAACACTACAGCTTGATGAGACATATAATTTACATGTCTTGTATACAACGTGCTAATTTTGGCCGATTATTTTGCGTTTGTTGCTTAAAATTATTTAGATCGAGTTGTTCCGCGAGTTGCTTCGCGCTAATGCTATCGAGGATTTCACGCAACGATGATCAGCTGGCGATTAATGCGGAAATCGCTTTCGTACTTTCGTTTCTTCCGGTATGACCTACTTTACGAAGGAATGTCTGGGGAGGTGTTTTAGATTTTCGTCGTGCGAGTAGCGCGACGTATCGGATCGTCCACCTGTAAAATCGAAAACCGGTTTTGTTCATTACGTCGCCCTCTTGCACGCGTCTCCTTCAGCAGGAGTTCGTGCCAATACAGGTATAATGTCCGGCGCAAATCGATAGTCATCCTTTGTGCGCCGAATGAATATTCTCCGCGAAACTTGTATCTGCTTTAACGATGCTAATTCTGAAGATATTCAAGAATGTCCAGCTGGCGTTTATAAACGTGGCTATAAAATATTATAAGAATGTTAAATTTAAATTTAATTAAATCTGTTTTTAACAATTTAATTTAATTTAGACCTTTTATTTAAATTGCACGCCAGATAAGAAACATCATTATTTTTTAAATATTAAATTAGAGAAAAGTGCACTGTTTTATCTTTTTTATCTTATATCTTAATGTAGTTGATTTTTTAATAATTTCATACAACTTCAGTCAATATTTAATGTTTTTCTAATTTAGAGTAGTGACTGATTTTTTTAATTTTTTATATATTGCGAGATAGAAGATGTATCTTTTACAACTTTCTCTTTTTTTTTTTTTGTTTTTTCTCTCATTAATTTAAGTAGACCATTTTATTGAAAATAAAAAACAAAAAATAGAAAAATATGCCACTCTGTCGTAACTTTTCCCTGCATCAAGTTTCATCTAGACTAGACGATATAATGAAAATTTATACGTAAAGACAGAAGAGTTATATACGAAGATTGACCGTGGAAAGGGTTAAAGATCGATTTGCGTCGTGCGGTGAGCAGCATCACTATTTCGATTTCACGGGAGTAGAGAAGGATGTTGCGAAGAATACGAATTACTCTCGGCAAAATAAATCGACGAGACTTCGAGAGATTTCGCATTGCGTGACTCGCGTATTAAGGAAGATCATGTGTTCGAAAGCGAAGTTCGAGCACGACGGAATATAGATCGAATGCTCGATCATTTCTGCTCCATTAGTCGATCAGTGTCACGCGTCGAAAACACGTGGGAAAACGGGAAGATTACATTTGCTCGCCGCGATAATTCCGGGCCAAATTCTCAAGATATGTTTCTCAGCGGGGGCCGAAAACGAAACGAGATATTGTGTCTGGGAATGAAGAAAACGTGCGCGTAATATTTCATCTTCGTGGCGACTAGAGGCAAACGAAATACATTTCGCTTGCTCTCGAGACGTTTCTCACGTGGTTTACGTTTTGCTGTAATAAACCTCTTGTCAATTATACATGCACCTCACGTTTTACAACGATAAACCGGTACCTCGCTATCCGGATAAACGTATGTAAAATGTTGCTATCTTAATAGAATATCGGCGTTAAGATGTCTTTTTTGAAACGATGGTAAATTAAATAGCTAGATAAATCCACGGATAGAATATATGTACGTCTCTCGCCCGCGGGAAACTTGCCCCGGCTCTAGATAAATATAGCAATTTATTAACTCCCATTAAAGCTGAATTTGCTTAATGGATAAAGGCCCATAAACTTGATTCTTGCCGGGGGTTTCGCTCATAATTTCGTTTCCTCTGCGCAACGGCGGTATATGAAAGTAAAATCCATATGCACATCGGCATGGGTTGTATGAGTTGCGTATCCATTTCTCTGGTTACCGATATATATTCTACAATCATATACGGAGCGTATCATAAACCTGCGCTATTCTTCTGGCGAACGATGTTCCGAGATCAGTATTCATAACGATAACTTAGAAAGCGGACAGACGTGTAGCGTGAACGCGATACATGACCGATACGTCATTAATCATCATCTACGTCATATTTCCTATTCTTAATTACTCTGCGCATTTCCAGCTTCGAGATACAAATTTCTCGTGAAATCGATGAGATGTGATCTCATGCGTCTAACAATAGACTTTAGATAGACATTAATAAATCTAATTTATACTTACTATTGCGAATGTTTGCATTAGAAATATTAATACATATTGATTAGCTATTATTTACAGTTACGTTTATTAGCTTTATTTAAATTGGACGGTAGAACCGATGCTTGATTGATCCCCTTTAATTGCAGACCATAATTGCATACTGCAATTTCATCTGACATAAAAATAAACAGAGAGATGGGGCGAGAGAATACTATAACTGTCTGCATATGTTAGAGCTAGGTTGTACTAGTTTGATGTGTTTGATTCTGCTTTTTATACAGAACAAATTAATTGCTGGTGTAAGCTGGAAGTTTGTTGCGGAGATGCTAACATAGCTTGGTTATCGAGCCTCTGGCAAGCAAGATATCAAGTTCGCAACAATTACCGCCCTTGCGTTAAAGTCCTGCGATATCATACTACTCCGCAACCCCCAACGCGGAATGATGTTTGACATTTTCGGAGCGTATTCGACTCGTATCGCTGCTCGAACTCCTGCTCCGATATTCCCGGTTGGATTTACCTCCAGAAATGGAGGATATAGTTAAATGCGAATGATGAAATTATAGACGTGAAGTTGTATTTTGTATTAACGTTTATATTGGCGCTCTTCCTCTGTGTATAATTTAGAACATTTTAATGATCAATTTTATCGTTGATCAAACGTCACAAGTTTCTTTAAGAAATTGTTTTAGAATATGAATAATCCTCTCTATTAGTGTTAAAAATTAACACTAACACAAATATAATTGAATAGAACGCTAAATGCGGATAGTCAGGCCGATGAGAACGGCACGTAAAAGCCGAACATCGTAAAAGCATCCGTCGAGGCGGTAAAAGCACGCGGGCCGATCGTTAGGAAAGCGACTGGCTGCAGACACCGGCTTCGAAAGTGAGCCCTCGATCACGTTTCGTTCGACGCCAGTTCGCACGTAGACGCGCGCGCGCGGTCTGAGCTTTGTTTTCGTCCTCTTTTTTCCCCTTCGATCTTAGCACGACGGACGACGCGGTCCGAATCCACGACAACGCGGCACGTGTTTCCACCGGGCGAATCCTTAGACGAAGTCGTGCCCGATACGAGGCGAATTCCCGACGTTATTGAAAGACGTCCCCTGGATTTTTTGTGTGAAAAATCTCGTCGCTCGCGCGAGATGCATTTGTCGTTTAACGTTTCATGACGGTAGTTGGTTTAGCTGGGTGCGAGCTGCAGCGGCCGGGTTGGCTTCCCGCGGGAGGAAGTTCCGTATATCGCGACGATATAAACGAGAAAATTTTTCCGGCAAACTAGAATCTCGTACAAGCGTGTTGAGTGATAGAAAATCTTTGAACTAGAAGCAAATCTTTCTCTAGAAAAGGAGAAAAAGAAAGAAAGGGAAAATGGGGATAATTTTTTGGGCGCGACATAAATCTAGCTTTGAATATCTTGTGAACATCTGTATCTATGCCATGTAATATTTGTCATGTAAGATTAGTCATGTCTCATTAAAATGTGTGATATTTATAAAATGACTTTGCGCTTTTCGTTAGATAAGCAGCTTATCAAAGTAGCGACTTTTCAATAAAGAAAGCGCGATTTCTTCAATATATACATATGTGTATATATATATATATATATATATATATATATATATATATATGCATATATATACATGTAAATATATTTTAAATAAAATTATCTAATTGCTGTTTACATTGCTTTCGAGGCAAAGTCGCAACGCCATGTACAAGGGATAACTAGAGCAAGACTCTATATAAGATACATAATTATGCCTAAGATACGTAATTATAAATGAGAGACATGATCTTATTTATACTTAATTCTACTTAATTTTCATATCGAAATAGCGACTTTGCCTTCGTACCGCTTTCTTGGTGTCTGTTGACTCAATTAGGCTTATTTTCTTTCTCTTTCTCTTTTTCTGTCTCGTATGAAACTCATTGATTTCCTATGGTCCGGCCTTGCGAAACACCGCGGTTAACGTTGAGCGAATCGTTAATCGCGATCGCGACTAGGAAAAGCCAATTTGAGTCGAGGGCAAAGGAGACCATACTTTCTCCGTCGCCGCGCCGCTGATAAAACGTGTCGCAAAAAGGAAACCGCTTGAATGATCCTTCAGAAAATTGTATCACGACCGATAACGATGGGACAAGCGAATATCCCGTTCGGCGCGAGGTTCGGCGTGTCTCTCATTGGGAGAAATCAGGCGTTTCGCCATGCGTTATAGAGACAGCGTTCGGCTAAGATCATTTTCTAAATTACATCGTGTTGATTAGCGACAAGCGCGAGACTGCGCATCGCGCGAATCGTTGCATCAGCCGATTACAGTTTACATGTGTCGCCCAGTGGGTCCACCAGTGTATTCCCACGTTCCCCGTCCTAATTCCGGCGCGCCTGAATTCCAAAGGTAAACAGACTAAACCGTTGGCTGTTGAAAGGATTTACATTTCTTTTAGAAAGGCGACATCACGGTTACAGACCCCGTACACTTATACGTAAAACGCGCCCAGACAAATTTTCGCCGAGAGCGTCGCGCGTTTCTTGCCTTTTTCTCCCTCGGGTCTTCTCGGTTTCGACGCGCGGAGAGGTGCACGAGGAAACTTCCGCTCTTTCGTAGATATAACCGAAAATAATATCTATCAAATTGAGGTCCGTCACAGTACTGTTTCCACGTTTAATTTCCGGTGCAGAGGGTCGCGCATCAGGCAGAAGGCGCGACGATCCATTCGATTCGTTCCATGAGCAACGCGACTATACGGTAGGACAGATGGAAAATAAAAAAGAAGGACGCATCGAACGAGTAGAAAATTCGCGATTGGTTAACCTACTTCGCCAGAGCAAATCCAGCTGTTCTAGAAATCTTTCTTGTGATTTTACGACAATCGCGGTTGAACTTCCGTGGCAATATTACGCGCTTCCGACTGCGCGGATTTCGAGTTTAGACAGCTTCCAACGGAGCGGTTGAGAAAGTTAAGAATTACATTTCTGCGGAATTTCAGACAACTACGAAAAGATGAAACGTGCACTTAGAATCTTAAAATATGACATCAGCAATATATTATATTAGCTAATTGATGCTTATAAATATAGTTGGTGTTGATTGTAACGCTCAGCGTGCTGAAATATTCCTATTTTGGAACAATCGATTTTCCAACCTGTCGAAAATTGAGATCTCGAATCGTAAACTTTTGCGAATTTTCGCTTCGCGATTGCTGATTCCAACCAGGAGATGCGCGATCACGTATCTGCCGGTGCAAGAGGATTATGCACCTGTGGGGGTTGCGGCGGCAGGCGACCCGCGTCGTAGGACCGGCGAACGGCGGCGCGTCTACCGCGTCGCGACGCGGCAGAGAAGGGAGCGCGCGCGAGAGAGAGAGAAAGAGGAAGAGAGAGCGAGCGTGAAAGATACGTGGGGGCGAGAGAGAAGTCGCGATTGGTTAAACCACTCTCGGAAAAGCCCGCCTGGCTGCTCGACCGGCCGGCACTTCGCTCAGTTCTCCACTGTGCTCCGTGTGAAGCGGAGCTTTCGAGATATCTCCTCGCTCTCCCTCTCGCTCGCCGCGATCTGCGCGGGATCGACCCTTCGATCGGGATCCCGTGCGAGTGCCAGTCACGTCTCCGCCAGGAAATCGTGAAAGGACAAGGCAGCGGTATCCTGATCTAGCCAGTTTTGAGAAGAGGAAAAGGGATAGACGAAAGGGTTGAAGGAAAGGACGACAATGTGCGAGAGGAAGCTGCTGCGAGTGCTCTAGGACGAGAGGACCTGAACTAACCGAGTGATACCGGACACCTTCGAAAAGGACCCCTCCGGGAAAGAGTGCGATTCAGCATAATCACGGTGAATACCTCTATTATTGCATCATTATCAAGTTTTTGAACGATTTAAGGAATTGTTGGGATCAAATTTTTCTAATTTTTTATTTTGTACGATTTTTGAGTTGTCCCTGCGGACAACTCTGGAAATAGGAAAATCAAATAACTTTAGCGTCACGTCGTTATATTGATGCACCATGATTGCCGATATTGACAATCAGATTTTTGTGTATCTTCGGACTACAATAACATTAGCAAATATTGTAATTTTTTAGTGAGTATCTTTCTGTGAAAGTATTGCACAAAAACGATCAGAAAATGTGTTCTGACACACATTCTCCATTACTTTTATTTTACTATTTTATTTACGTGATTGAGATAATTCTTTGCGAAAATATTTCTTTTCACGAAAGACGACTTGCACAATAGGCGGCTAGATACGTTATCTGTTCTTGGAAATTCTCTTGAAAATTAGAGAACAAAGCTAAAGTAGACTGTATTACAAGTACAAAGTGGTCAAAGGAAGCAACGAAGCGCAGTCGGCGCTCGTAAACTCGCGTGATGCGCTCTGTGTGCTGTTAAGGGTTGATAGGGGAAAATTAAGGAAACCTCTGTGCACACTATTCTGTAGCTTTGTCAAGACTACGCGCCCCTAATTTAAGCGCACAGCCGTGTTTCCCTGAGCTTCAAGCTTAACGTTAAAGGCACTTGACGTTTATTCTCGGCGGATCTTTCAGTGAAATTTTAGTTGAAAATATAATCGGGGAGAGGATTACATGGTTAACCATCTATAATAATAGGATTATTCGGGTCACTCGCATCTTAGCACGACATACTTATCTCTAGACGTTGTACCAAACTAACAATTTTGTTGTGTATTTCTTGTTAATTGCGAGAAGCTCCTTACGTACAATTGATAATTATTTTGTAAAAACTAAAAACTCTAATTACACTAAATTGGCCAAAAAATTTGTTGCAAAAAGGACATTTGTGTATTAATTGTAGGACACTTTATATTCTAAACAACGCTAATAGGCGCGCCTATAATAGCAGATTTAACAAAGCGATATTCATCTTAATACGCTCAATCAATACGCTCGACTAGATTTTTCTGTTTAAATTTAAAGATCTCTTAATCCCATTTGGCATATAGGTCACGTCATTTTCGCGGACTTTATATATTTTGCTCGGAGAAATGCGTCGTCCTCTGGGCGATGCGGCGTTACTTCGTCTCCTACTCCACGGGATTGTTCGATCCATTTCTTAATCCAGATTTTACGCTATTCATAGACCGCTAGCTGGCAGGATCGATTCGTATCCGTTCTCGGATAAGGAGAAACTTTGACAGTATGCTTTCCGACGGATGTTTGGTGTCGATCTTATTAAGTGGAGACGAGTATTGCCACACGCGGTCGTCAAAGCTCGACAAACGAACCGTTGTATGTGTACATACGTACGCTTGTATGTGCGGCAAACCGTTGCGCTACCACCGCTCTTAATGAGCCTGAAGATCGTTCAATTCGTTGCACGCGTGACTCGATGGCTCTTCCGTGACTTCGTCGATTTCCGAGCGAAAATCCTGGACGTAGCATCGTCTCGTCGGGAAAGCGCTCGGAAAATTGGGCTGAATCAATATTAACACGCCAGTTTTATATCCATTCTATCATTTTCTATTATTTTGCTCCGTGTATAAAAAAATATTTCACCGATGTTACAAAATTTTGTGCAGAATTTTTTCAGATGTTAAATATAAAATAATTGCCAAAGGGCAGTTAAATCGAATCTAGTTAAATTGTAATAAACAGTTTTGGCTCGCCCGCAATATTAAAAGTTGCAAGCTTGAAAATCAATATCCGTGCGCATTTCTACCGAAAGTAGTAAAGCGTGCAAAATAAAAATTCTAATATGGAGGATACGTTCTGCGCTAACATATTCGATGGTAAATGCCCGATCGATAGAGCGATTTGCCGTGTTGTATCGTTCTCGCCGGGAGTTTTATGTATGACGTTCAGCCAGTAAGACACTAGGACTGCGGTATGAGCGCAGGAATGTAAAACGATATAACTAGTTATGGAATTCTAGTCATCCTGCATTCAGACCGAAACACCACCCACGTTGCATTTCTAGATTTGCGGTTCCACTCGCCCGTGCATCCTTAATCGGTTCGGTTTGCGGGTCTATTGATTCCTGGCGTTAACCGGATCCCGAATTCAGAACGCGAAATCGCCGCTTGATTGGCATTAATCATGGCTGCGAATGTATTCGCGCCGACTATAGTTCCCGTCGCTCGTTCGTACGTGGATACGGTCCACAATTATGCCCGGTGCGATTTATTCTTGATATAGAATTCTCGTCGGTATAACACAAAACTTGACGAAGTCTAGTCTTACTTAACGTTAATTAAAGTTTGCGGTAGAAAGTTCAAATTATTCAGAACATGAAAGATTAAATCACACAAACTGCGGAGGTAAAACGATATTAAATATGAACGTTGAGATGTTTGCTGAGCTCGATAAAAATTTACAAAGTACGAGAGATCGAAACTCTCAGCTAAATAAATTGAATCAAAGAGAGAAGGAAGAGTGAAGATTACATCAGGTATATAAAGAAGAAATGGAATTTTTTTAATTACATCTTAAGACAATTGACATTGAGAACACATAAGCCACTCTGAGAGCAAGTGCAGGTATTGGAAAAAGTAATAATTGAAGTAACATTTTACATTTCTTAAGTATATATAGAGTTTGGCTAAATAAGAAGTATCGCGAAACACGTACGGTGTGTAGAAATTACTTGAGGAACCCTGCATTAAGAGATACTGTTCCACCGCTAGTTTACACTCAGTTTAAGACCGCCTCTGCGTATCTACGTTGCGGTAACGTTGGAAACTTTGTGCGCTCAAGTTCTTGGCCCGTAAGTGCCACCCAATCTCGGCGACGCGCCTCGGATCCACAGCGCTTGTGTGCAAAGCAGCTTTTGCGCTTGTTTCCTCTGTATGTACCTACCTGTGCACCGCGGCACCGCCGAGAACGACCGCGCTGCTAAACTGCTCGCACGTCGCTAAACTCAGATCGGATCATACGTGCGACACAACGGAGCGCGGTGTAGAAACCGCCTAGCGAACTAGGTCAATCACCTTTTTTTTTCGATCACTGCCGCAGCTGCGACGCCGCCGCCGCCGTCGTCGCTTGTACCCGCTTTAATCTGCTGGCTCCTCGTGCGCACGAAATTGCATCTGTTTCATCGGCATTCAGGAAGAGTGCCAAAGTTCGGTCTCGCTCCAATCGCCTTGCGGGAAACCGATTCTCCCGCTCCTGCCGAGGAATCCGTCCGCGTTCGCTGCTATGCGGAGGATATGCAGTCGATCACATGAAATATCAAAAGGCCCGCGAACTCTCTCCGTGGCGAGAATTTTCATAGTTTTATGACGCGGCCGGCCGACATTTATACGAATATAATCTCTACGACACGTTAACAATCCACATTCGCGTTTTTTTTAACGTTGTTCCTCGTAAAACTGCCAGGTACAGTTCACCATGAGAGAACGAAATTGAAAATGGCGAAATAAAACGATTAACGAATTAAACATAACGAATTAAATTACGCATGTAGATTTTCATGAGTTGTATAAATATAATCAGCATTATACACACAATTTTTCTGTTGTGGAAAATTGACTCGAGTTTCTCATTGGATTTAAAATTTCGTACTATCAGAGCAATTCAATAGGGAGAATATATTATACATTTCGGAGATATTTCAGGAGATTTGCCAGCGCAATAATTTATGGATAGGAACGGTAGAGCCAGACATACATCCGATTTTTACCGGAATTATAATACCAGATTTGCTTAATTGTAAACGAGATTAATTAAATATCCGCGCAGTTTCGCTAGAGGCGATGAAATACAAATTACGTATGAAACTACACATATAATTTGCCCGCTTCATTAAACTTCTGTCCGTTATTTAAATGGGAAAGCGGGGCAGCAACGGTACAGTCCGATAATGGCATTGTAATGTCGCTGTCGTCAAATATTCCATATAAGCATTTCCGAAAATTTCATACGAACGTGATATCGTCGCGCTTACTCAGTTGCAGAATTATTTTAACTTTCGTCACTTTCCTCAAAAAGGAGGATTGTCTCGCACGGTGCATATTGCGCGTTTTATTAGTCGACTGTCTGGCGAATTTAAAATGTATTCAACGCTTCAGTGAAGCCAGCTTGTGAATTTTAATTAAAAACCATGCGGCATGATAAGATGTAGCTCGCGTACCACCCTACCACCGTAAAAATAAGAGAGATGCGGTATTATTATTGACAATGCCACATTCCTACAGTCACGAACTTAATTACGTTTGATAAACTACGTGCACAGTCCTCGTCTTTGCGTTCGTTATTATTACACTACAGAGAAAATAGAGCTGGGAAAACATCTGGAGCGCAAGAAAATTTACTCTTCGTGTTTTTAGCTGCCATCGCCATTTATATTCGTGCATATCGCCGTGTAAACGTAATTTTTTTAGGTAACTTTATACTCGTCATATTCTATGTACGGCAGTTATTTCTATCTGTTACTCTTATTTGTGGTTATGTAACTTAAAGTCAATTTCTTGAAAAAATGGGGGCCCCCACATTACGTAATTAATATATTTTAGTATAATTATACATTATCACAGGTATCGAAGTCCCGATTATATATTATGACAATTCCAAACTGTATCTTCCTCACGTTATCGCTATCAAGAACTGTTAAAGTGTATCCGAACTCATTGCTACGTAAGTACGCGTAATGTATCCCTACCAACACACGTTCGTACACATGCGCGATATTACGTATACGTATGTATACGTCAAAGGCTGTTCTGGGTTTAATGTACGATGTCCCATAAGGTGCATATATCTCCCTTTACAACCAGGAAACGGGCACGGTCCCTTTACACCCGGCGGTATTCATAAATCCAACAAGGAGACTAAGGAGAAGGAGAAATGAGGAGGTGGAGGAGGTGAATGCTTGGCCCCT